GTCGGTATTTGGTTTCGAGAAATCCATCTCATCTAGGCCAGGTTGTTTTCTCGCCTTTAAACATTAATGTCGGACAATCGGGCGTTGTGCTACTACTTGTGAACGACAGCCATTGACCTGGAAACATTTATCTGGCCAAGCCTGCATGATGCTGATATCACGTTACATAATTAATACATAGCTCTACTTTCTTTGAAACACGCTCACACCTCCACTCCCTTCCACACACTAGTTCCTTCAACTTTTTGAAAAAAAAGTATAATTTAACAGCTCACCCTCGACTACCAGTTATAAAAACACCCTCGGTATAAAAAGCTCGTTGTTCGGGACAACGACCTGACGGACGGTGCGGGACCCGACTCGTGTATTCAGCAGCTGATACGGATCTCAGATGAAATCAACGCGCGCGGCTTCTCCCAACAGTAAATATCTGTCTAGGAGCAGACGAGATCTCTGCCAGGCCTCCCCGACACACCCAGAACATTCTCGGCGTCGCAGGAATTTGATAAACTTTATCACACGGAAACCAAATTAGGCACTCGCGAGGCTCTCGCTATGAATGGGCCTACTATGGTATATATTGCTTCATACGCATAGTATCATGTATATATATATACACATACGTGTATAGATTTATTGTTCCATTTGATAAACTTTATCGCACGGAAACCAAATTAGGCACCCTGAGGCTCTCGCTATGAATGGGCCTACTATGGTATATGTTGCTTCATACTCATAGTAGGATGTATATAGGCCTATATATACACATACGTGTATAGATTTATAGTTCCATTTGATAAACTTATCACACGGAAACCCAATTAGGCACTCGAGACGCTATGAATGGGCATACTATGGTATACGTTGCTTCATACGCATAGTAGGATGTATATAGGCCTATATGTACATGTATAGATGTATAGTTCCATTTGATAAACTTTATCACACGGAAACTCATTTTATAATGTAAATAGCCCATATAATATACACATACATGCATAGATGTATATTTCCATTGGTTTGTGTTGTCCAGTCCCTCTGACAACTTGATTGTCCACTAGACTCAGGTAAACCAGTAATCGCAAGCCTGTGCAGAAGCCAAGCAGTTGTGGATGTAGCCACTTGATGTTCAAGAAACAGTTGTGCGACAACCGGACGGAGGGGAGGGGGGGTCGAGGCGAGAACGATCGTACTTTTAAACGACCACTCACCTGACGGGGGGAACGAACTCGTTCTGCGTCATCCTCACCTGGCCAGCTGTAGGCGAGGAATGCTACCGGTACCTTCCTTTCGAGTCATTTCCAACCCCCCCCCCCCCTTCCCTCTTCACCGGTGTTGATATGTTGGAATTTTGGCACGAGATTACTTTACTGCGTGAACGAAAGTCTGCAACCACCCTACCCCCTTTCTCTAGACGATGTTGAAAAATTCCAAGTTCAAGGCTAGTCATTGACTAGCCTACCTGTGATGCAGTTCACTGGTAAATTAACTGTAACTAAACTAATGATGGACAAGGAAGATTGATGAGCAGTTTTTGGCTCGTGAATTAATCATTCACCCCCCACCCATCCCAGTCCGCAACACAGCACTCGAATTTCCACGCACGTCGGTTTAAAAAAAACCGTACGGTTTAAGTTTCAGAACCCCATTCACACAATACACACAGAAACAGACCTGGAAAAATGTGTACGCTAAAACCAGGCCGAGGGGCGAACGACTTAATTACCGCTCCGTAAATGAGGCTACGGACGTGCTAATGAGACAACACCCTCGCCGGATGACGGCGCACAACGGTCTACACGCGTGTCCCACTTTGCGGTGACTGTCAGACGTTTTAGGTGTACTCACTGCCGTTCTGCGGAAATAATTGTTCGGTGTTGGCTTTTATTGACTAAATAAATTGCTACTTCTTCAATAGAATGGTCATTTAGATGTCAAAAAGTGTAAAATAATTTGCTTCTTCTTCAATAGACTTGCCATTTAGATGTCAAAAAGTGCAAAAGTTACCTTATAGTTTGATTTTTTTTTATTAAATATACTTTATCATACCAATATACTAAATCATTTAAACATTAAAAAAAATAAAAAGATTTACTTTTAATACAGTATTTACTGTGGCAATGGACCGATCTATTTAAATTAAAAAAAAAAACGTTTTAAAATGTTCCTAGAATCCGCCTCGAACCGAGGTCTATTTACATGCGCGTGTGGCACTGTGACTTCTCGCTCGTGACATTCCAAAAACCGTTTTGAGAATCTGACGTGTGTGTTATTACCAGTGAGTGAAGGCTCACTTTGCCAACGGATATTTAACGTCTCGTCGGTTGACAATCAGAACCTGACCACTAATTTTACTCCCATGTCCATCTGAATGATTGTGACAGTCCAGTCCTTAGACCAACAATGACTGGGGGAGAGGGGGGACAAACACGTAAACAATGTAAAACTATTTCTCTCTCTCATATTTAAATCCTCCTGTAATTGTAGGAATATTGATTATTTGTCCAGATGACGAACTGTTGAACAGACACCACCACACTCATACCAAACGACGGACGGGTGGGCAGACGAGTTAAACCGACACGTTTAGACTTGGGCGACTCTGTGACATTTTAGAAGATCCAAGTCTGTCACCAACGGTGGCTTCTGAGGATCAATATGTGCATCTTAGTGCAAGTCACCCCCCGGGGTGAACTTTACTGGGTGGTTTTTACACGCATGTACCTATATATAGACAGCGTGGTAGATTTTATTGACTGATTGGTAGATTTTTTTGGTAGATTTTATTGACTGATTGGTAGATTTTTTGGTAGATTTTATTGACTGTTTTGTAGACTGCGTGGTAGATTTTGACTGTTTGGTAGATTCTATAGACTGATTGGTAGATTTTATAGACTGATTGGTAGATTTTATAGACTGATTGGTAGATTCTATAGACTGATTGGTAGATTCTATAGACTGATTGGTAGATTTTATAGACTGATTGGTAGATTCTATAGACTGATTGGTAGATTCTATAGACTGATTGGTAGATTCTATAGACTGATGGGTAGATTCTATAGACTGATGGGTAAATGTTAAGAGAATTCTGCCTTACGACCAATTTGGGTTTTCTTTGTTTAAAAAAACACCCCCGATAAGTTTTAAATGATCAATTTGTGATAGAGTAGCTGAAAACGACGAGTGCCGTCCATGACGCCAACGGGCCAGATGCGTCACGAAACGGCTCTGATAACGCCCATGTTTGAGTCACGCGGGCAGCCAGAAGAACAACACCGGTAATTAACGATCACTTGGAGCCCGGGGCGTGGTAAGGAAATTGACGAGCTGCGGTTTACGAGCGATACTCTAATAAATTGTAACGTGGCCGTGGTCACTGCCCAGTTGATGCAGAGTTCAGATCTCTCATAATTTGTGATTGATATTTTTTTTTGCTGTAAATGGCTTAAAAATTTTGAAATTTAAAGTAAAACAACAGATTATGGATTTTCATGAATACTTTCACAGCTTCAAAGAATAAACCTTTGTAGCAAACTTCAAAGTTGAAGGCAATAAACGCTTCTCTTTATACCCTTGCTTTCCATTTTCCCGTGTCCATCTATCGCTTCCACTACATTACCATTACATTGCCAGCCATCTAGTCGTCTGCTTGGATACGTAAACTTAATTTGGCGTGAATAATTTCCCGTAGCATGTCTTTAATGGAAATGTACCACGTGATTCAGAAAACAAGGGCAAATTGCGATTGTATTTTCATTTTTAGCCAACACATATACACGGCATTCCTCTGTACTGTTATGCCAAATAATTTAAACATTTCTGCTGCATCTGGTACAAACTTATTTGTATTTTTGTCCTTTTAAGTCACACACGCCTATATTGTAATCAGAATAAACGAAATCAAAAGTGAACGGGACTCCTGTTTAAAAAACAAAGTGCGGCTTAAAATAGATATTCCAATTGACGCCATCTACGGAAGCTCTCCGTGAAGTAATCCTAAGGTACACTCCGGTGAAGTTTGACTAAGAAGCTCTCCGTGAGGTAATCCTAAGGTACACTCTGGTGAAGTTTGACTAACAAACACAACTGTTCGACAGCTCTTCTGTCCATGTAAACAACGTTAAGTAAGATCCTCTTTTGGCTCCCATTATAAAACCAGTTGTCATTCCCGCCAAGTGCTCTACGTCTGCCGATCCCAATCTATTATTATTCACCAAACGAAAATATCAACTGGTGTTTGGTTTGCTCCGGTGTGTGCGCAGTAAACAAAACACAGCACTATAGATAGGCTACAAGATTCACTTCAACATACGCCAGTGTTGATTTTACTTTTTATAGCCCGGCTGTCCGACCAAATGCTACTTCAGCTACAAGTATGTCACTGTGATTTGAACTAAGTGCCGAAACCACTAGCAAGTACCATTCAAGTGATTAAGTTTCCATACAACACATTTTTTTTTCATGCCGATCGATATTGACGATCTCTCTCGTTAAAAAAAAAGTACTGTAGCTTCGTGAAACAGGTGTGGGCAGTGGGCGGGGGATCTGTTAAGTGCATCGATGTTTCGTGATAAGTCGTTTAGATGTGCCAGCCTTGCTAACTAATTTGGGAAGCTCATCAAAGAAAACCTACACGTTAGTTATTGGCTGGTATATCGCTGGTCGATTTCTGCAGCTCCAAAGCAGACGTGGATAGAGAAAGTAGAGTTCATCTGTTTTTTACCTCGGCCTACGAAGAAAGGGTGTGATTAGCACTATTCCCAACCGTCTTCATTCTACTTTCGTAGGTCAGGTACCCATTAAAGCTGAGTGGACTCATGGACATCCTAGGGACTCGAGTCCATTAAAAATAAATTATATTATCCAACCTAGTTTGTTATTAAACTCCACAACAATAACCACATTTGTTTTAGAAACATAATCAATCTTATCAACATTGGTTGTAATTATTGGTTTTTTTTATTATAAAGAAATTTTAAAAGATTCCTTTTTGTTTTCAGGCTGTAAAATTAAAGACTTGAGAGCCAGGACAAACACCTACATTAAGACACCCATGCGCACACAGTCACCCGTGTTCGTTGTGACTGGCAAGGAGGATGCCGTTCTGCTCGTTATGGGGGAGATCCAGAGTGCAGCTGAGCACTTCACACACATTCGTGCCTCACGCAATCACCACAAGGTGGCTGGTGGCCTGGACACCAACAAACCAGTGAGCAAAGAAGGTGACATCATGATACAGGTAACCGTGCCTTACCGAGTGGTTGGTCTGGTTGTCGGGCTCAAAGGTCAAACCATCAAGGCTATCCAGCAAGATACTGACACTTTTATTGTTACCCCAAATCGAGACAAGGCCCCTATTTTCGAGATCAGAGGTCAGCCGGAGAATGTTGAAAGGGCCAAGATGATGATACTGCGCCACATTGAAACCAGAACCAGGCACTGCAGGCTCCAAGACACGACAAATCTCTCCAACAACTGGAACGATGAGCCAAGACAAAATGGAAATGACTATTCCTTCTATCACGGGGACATTTTGCCTCAGAATGGCAACAACTCCTCCTGTGGGATGTCAATCAACAGCAACTTCAGCAGCAAAGGAAGTGCTCCCAATGGGAATTCATCTAGCAGCCAAGGAACAGGTTTCTCATTTTCATCCACAAGCCCACCAACTACTGTAAACTACAACTGGAGAAGTTACGGGAACATACTTGACCAACCTCAGAATGGTCACCTCACAGCATGGAGTAATGCAACTTCTGACTTCTCACCCATACTTGGAAACGGAACTGGGTTGTCAAGCGGAGCCAACATCATCGGCAACTCAAGAAACGGCAACAACTTCCAGTACAGCATGTCTCTGGGTAGCATTCCCTCATCCTCCAACAGTTCAGCCAGTATTTCCCCACCACACGATTTTTTAAACGATGGCCCGTTCTCTAGCCACAACCCATTTGGGCCATCTTTAAGCAGCCCTTCTTTGAGAAGCATGAATGACCAGGACTCTTTCCCCACCTTCCCACTCTTGACCACTGCCTCCTCAACATCAACCAAAGGGAGCTTGGTGTTGGGCAACCTTTTCCAATCTCAGAGCAACGTCACCTCCAGCTTGAGCATGAGTCTCATGAGCTGCAATGAAGGCATCCACGGGTTCCCAGGCTCCCTTCAAGACGACAGAGTAGGCTACGGAGGACACTTGAGTTGTTCATCATTAGGTTCCTTCTCAGGGACAATCGGAGAGTCAAACATGTTTACTGGACAAATGAATGGATTTCCCAGCGGCAACTCTAGCCCAACAAGCAAAAGCTGCTCTTTAAGTGATACATCAGGGTCCCAGGGCTCCCCGACGCCCCGCCTGTGTAAGGTGTGTGAAGAAGCTGAAGTAGTTGCTGCATTAGTTCCTTGTGGGCACAACCTCTTCTGCATGGAGTGTGCTGAAGGGATCATCAACAAGGCTGCTGAGAGTGAGAGGAGATGCCCGGCTTGTAAGGAGCCTGCAGGCGACGTACTGCGCATCAGGGCTTAAGGTCAACCAGAAGGGTTTGGTTTTAGTCAGACTTTTTTTTTTTTGTTTAATCTTAGACTTTAGGAAATTAGACATTTTTATATATTAAGATTATTCCTATCAGATATTTAAATTTTGTAAGGCAACTGATTTTTAATACACAAATTTTATTTCTCAATTTAAAAAGTAGTCTGGGTAATTTTTCTTATTTGGGAGAAGGAAAGCTAGATTATTTAAAAAATTTTCATTATAATAATTTTTACATTTAAAAACATACAAAAGGTAATACATATTGTGTTAATACTTTTATCTCAGATGTAAATTGATAGTGTAAACTGTCCAATAGAAGTTTGACCTTGATATTTGAAAAACTGAAGCGTCTATAACAAATAACTCGCAGTATTGTGTTGCTGTATATAAAATGTACATAGCAAATATGCATTAATCTTGCAGCTGCCTATTTCATTGTTGGTGATTAAACCAAAATTTTCACTAGCTGAATTTAATTACTCAATCCAATTAAGAAATCCGGTTGGAAATTTTTTCCTCCTTTCCCATTATTTTAAGGTTCACAACTTTTAATTGTTTTAATGCTAATTACATGAAGTTTAATTTGTTTACCAGCTTTTGGAAAAGCTTAATGACACAAGCTAGGAAGTTTAATTTGTTGTACCAATGTTGTTTTAAGGGGAGAAAAAATTTATTTCTCTTTCATGTTCAAGTTTACCCTTAGAGTGGGGAATCTTTAGAATTTTTAAACTAATTTTAGTTTTTTGTAAAGTATCTGATTCATTCATTTAACACAAGGCTCTGTGATTTTTTTTTTTAAATACTTTTTTTTTCAACACATACTGCTACATTCAGGGTCCATTTAAATTATTTTTTCTGTGAAACTGTTTTTTAAGAATTTCTAATTTGGTTGTTAATGAATATAACAATTAGACTACAGATGTGTCTCAAACTTGTGCTTCCTCTACGATGTAAAACTTGACTAGACCATGCCTACTTATTGTTAATGTTAGAACCACTGGAAAAGCCTTTAAGCCCTGAAGTATCAAGTGAAGGTCATCTGTTTGTTAAAACTCAGAGCCGTATAAATGAGGAGTACACATGTATTTAAGTTAAATTTTATAGTATAGAAAGTGTGTACTTCTACATTGTTTATTTTTAAACAAATGTCAAACTTTATAAGGACTCAACTATTTTGTTCAAAAATTTCACATAATACATGGTAACATGCATAATAAACCAGTGTATTAAATTCTAAACCTTGAATTAGCAGTAAAAACAAGACATCAATTTTAATGTATTGATCTCAGAATGAAACAGCTGATTGGCATTTTGTGGGAATTACTGTAAATCTTTAAAAAAGGTGAACCCTAGAACCAGCTGAACTGCTATCCCAGAGTTCTCCTGTGAGTAGTCGACTGGACTGATCAAAATTCAATCGTCTATTTTTTTTCATGAGTGAAACAAATATTTTCATCTTTGTAACTAGATTTTCTTGCCCTCTTAAAACGTATCCATCGAATTATCAAGGGATGTATTGTTCATGACAGAACAGGTGTATTTTTTTTCTTGATGCCTGGCCAAACTCACTGTAGTTTAGTTTGTTAAGCACACTATATTTATATTTATTATGAATTAAAAATCTCTTCCCAGAATAAGATATATCTATATTTATCTATATAAATATCTTCTTAATATTTCTTTTGAATAAAATTAACATTTTGCTTCAAATAAAAGCCACTCTCTTAATTGAGGAAAGTATATTGTTGCAGTTTCGTTTAGCGACCTAATTCTGTTAAATTTTATTGCACTGTTAATCAAATCTAAAATGTTTTGATGCATTAAAATATGGACTAATTTTTTTTTCTTATTTTACTGTTTCATTCCAATAACAAAGCTCAGTGATCTGAGTCAGTACCACAAATTTAATCTATAAATCAAAGTCTATTATGCAAATTTTATTTTTCATAAATGTTATTATATTTTCTTAGAATGTCTTAAAGAAAGAGATTATATTTTAAATATGAAATAATTTTGCTCATTTTTAAACAAACTAAATGTTTCGCTTTCCCACAAATGATTTCTGAAACATTTTGGAAAAGAAAAACATGAGGTTGCTATGTGAATATACAACACAAAAACAAACAAAAAAAATACACAAAGGGATCAATCGTTACCCAAAGATCTGATTGTACAATGTATTTTCTTTCTTTCATATCTCCTACAATTCTCCGATAAAATATTTGTGAATTTTCTAAATAAAACCTGAAATATTTATTCATGTACATAGATACCAAAAAATTGTTTTATTGACAACATTGCAGTTACTGATGATTCTACTACATGTAAATGTTTTTTTAAATAAAGTATTTAGATAGTGTTATTTTTTTATCAACATTATTGTCAAATGATTTTCCCTTAGAACTAATTGTAGAGGTGTTAATATTTAAAAGATCATTAATATTCATAATATGCGTGTGAATATAATTTATGCAAAAAAAAATCACAGAATGATTTATAATACTGACAAAGCTAAAGTTATATATATATATATATATTATATATGTATTAGAAAAAAATTGTTATTGTAATATCAAAGCTATTTAATTGATGCATGGCATTGTTACATGGTGTGTGTTTAATGTTAACTGAAAACAATTTTTTCTATGTTTAGCTAATGATCAAAATTTTTATACAATTCGTTTGGTGTTCAATCTTTAGTGTCAGGAAGTAAGTTCTATCTGCTTTGGCGTTAGGGAAAAATTTGAGAAATTGTTTGGTTGTTATATTTATTTTTATTTCTGCATTCTACGGGAGTTGAATTCCAACTCGATGTTAATTTATCATTGGTGTACCTATATTTGATCTAACTGTATGTTAGATATTAGTCTGTCTATTCACCAAGTATTAATATGTAATGATTACAACAGAGTATTTTATTCAATATTAATTTCTAGTAATAATTGATGTTATTTAAAGTAGCTTTTTAACACAATGTAGTTTTTGTTTCACTTTTGTATTAAAATAAAAATATAATATATTAATATTAATGATATTGTCTACATATATCAGATAAGGTTAATATCCAGATTTTTTTTTTACTGCAAGCTAAGTTTAAAAATATAATAATGAACTATTTAAAATTTCTATTTAATCATCTCTACAGAAGATACCATAAATAAATTGCCTTCTCTCATTGTTATGTTTATATGCAAATAATGCGTTATTATATAATGCTGTTTTTACTATGGAGTGTAATGCACATGTATACTGATGTTCACCATACCTAGCAGTTAAAAAATTTTAAGTGGATTAGTTGGGCAGTTTGAATTGATGAAAAACCAATTATATTTTAAAGTAAGTGCATTTTAATGTGTTGAGGATTGGATAAAAGATCTAACAGGAAGAGCTACTTCCACTTTTTTCTTTTCTTTTATCCCTACCATTGATTTTGTTCATTTTGTCTTCCATGTAAGATTCTTTTGCTTACAAAATAGGTGTAGAATATCCATGAAAGACATTGAAGACTGGTATGAGTACTAGCAGTAAAAAATTGTTTTTACAAATCATGGTGGTAGTGTGTTAACCAGGCTTAATCTGCTTCTTAAAAAGTATTTAAAATTGAGTAATAAAATGGTATTTATAGTGCATTTTTCTCTTTGAAGCTATTTTATAGACTAGGTAAAACTGCTTGATTTCTAATTAATAGAGCATTAATTAACATTTTCTATTAGAAAATTTTAAACTGCTGAAAATAGATACAAATTAAGAAGAGCTTATTATTTTAGATGAGTTGAGTCAGTTTTCTAGAATGGACCTGTATGAATAAAAATAGCTATTTTTTTTTAATATTGAATTTTTCTAACTGTAAAAAAGCCAGATTAAATTTTCATCTTGTTCAACTTTAAAATGTGTAACCTAAACACATTAGATATAAAAGCTCTTTAATTTATGGCCATGATTTTAAAAAAGTGATAACTTTTCTTGTTCCTCTCCTAAAAAAGCCCAGTATAACATATCAAACACGACCAGAAAACTGCTACTAGAAAGCTAGTCAGTGGGGTTAGATAGGTTGGGCAGAGGTGTGATTCTTTGTTGGTGCCTGTTGAGATGTGCTGTGATGGTCCATCCGAGGAAGACTGAGTTTTGTTTAAATGCTTCACCTTTTTAAAGGGAAAACATTTGCTTGAATGTCTTTCAGTGGTTTTGTACTTGATTCAGAAATGTGACGCCATTCCCTATTACTTTTTTTCTATTTAATACTATGTACTTATCCATTTTCTGGAGCTTGTTTATTTGTCAATTATTATAACTGCTTTATGTATTTATGTGTATGCTCCCAGTGTTTTTTTTTTTAATATATTTTTCAACTTCAGCATAATTATAAGTTGTCATTTTTTGTACATTTTTTTCCCCATATAAAAATAGATTATGGACTTCAGTGTCCAATATGTTTAATTGCAGAATGCTCAAATATTTTTGAAGCATGCTTATAAAAAAAACCAATGCCCTTCGATTGGCCAGTTGATTCTCAAATAAAAGCATAATACATATCGCAATAAACTCTTGATAGTCGTGAATGTTTGGAGATGTATTGAAGACTAAAGTTGAATACAACTTATACAGTTAAAAATATACCTGAATTAAAAATAAATTTATTGTATTACCTATCTTGCAATATTTATGTTTAGTCTGATCACGATGTTATTCATTTAAGTAGTGTCCTAATAGTGTGCAGCCTAGTCGTTCAATATCCGACTGCAATGCCTCCAGTTATTTTAGCAGGTTTCAGTTGTACTACTTCCATGTTTATAAATAATACTCAGTTTAGCAATATATTTTTATTTTTTTAAACAGTGTTAAAGAAACACTAAAGTTTTTTTTTTGTTGTTGTTGTTGCCTTGTAAAATAAAGGGACATTTGTTCATAAAAAATATTCATTTTAATTACTCATTTTAAGTAATATAAAGCTCCAATGGTTTAAAAAGTTCGACTTTTTTTTTCAAAGTTTAAATCATGCTTTAACGATTCAAATCGAACTCATCCTCAAAATTCCCTTTGTTTTACTCATTTTCTCATGGCAACCACAGTAATCATGTCAGTTAGCTCTGTCACAACTTATGTGTCACAAATCATGATTCGTTTTATTTTAAAACCTAAGGCCGACAATTGCAATTATGGCCTCAGAGGTTAATTTAAAAAAAAAAAGATATATTTGACAAACGTGTAATGTTCAAAATTTTATTTTTTGCATTTAAATAAAAAGTTGATGTATTAAACTGTTTCGTTTTTCTTTAATCATATTTTTTTTTAAATACAAAAAAATCTTGTAAAATTTGGTTTTACTTTTTAACAAACTCCGCTCACCATTCATCGCAGCTGAAAAAGAGCCGAACTAATTTGGTTTCAATTGAAAACTCCAGAAAATTACAACCTTAAGCCGCTTAGAACGGAAGTGATTTCCAGCTGCATTCTCGAGACAAACTTGCTAGAACCGGATGAACAATAGTGTGTCGGGAGACCCCTACAAATCTGATGTTTTTCTTTAGTTCACTCACATTACGGAGGTTCTGATGTGGCCAAAGTCAGTCTCATCAAACCAGCGCCGGTCTGTTAAAAATGCACAGCATTCCCGATTTCTAAGAAAATAATCTTAGTTTTTATCTGAAGAAGAAAATCAATACAGTGAATTGAGAATTGTTTATGTAGAATTTGAAACTTCGTTATCGTACACAATGCACGGCGAACAGGGCTTAGTAAAATATTTAAGGGATTGTTAGTTTTAAATAATTGTAATGGCTATTGAAATTTTAATGCGTTTTGTAGCAAGGTATGGTTATTAGCCAAAATAATTTCCTTGCTGAAGTAAAACAATTTTCTTTAGACTGAAACATTTTCTTCTCTACTTTGACAGTACTCCTTCATATTGTTTTACTAGAGACTGTTTGAAAATGTAGAGCTGAAACAAGTTATAGGTAATAGACAAAGTTCATGGACTATATATAGCTCGTTGGAGCTCAACAAATGTACTTGTCCTATTCTGATAAAAATTTAACTTACAAAAATAGCTTATTACAAAAAATAAACATTCAGATCGGGCGGACAATACCGAGAAGGTCCAACTATTTGGCCCAGCCGCCTAGGAAAGACTAGAGGTCATACCGTCATCACTACATTGTTGACCTGACAAGCAGCAGACGAGAAAATATCAGGAATTTTTATTTTTTTAAACCCGAACCAACATCGGCTGTGGCATGATAGGTGACACCAACAATGCCAACAAAGAACATCAACCGTAAGCTACCGTGTGTATGTAGACTGTAGCTTGCAACAGTAGGAACCTACTACTACAAGTAACTTACAAGCGTGATAAAGATACCACCAATATGCAACAAAAAAACAACCAATTAGCCACTAAGAAACCACCAATTAGCCACTAAGAAACCACCAATTAGTCACTAAGAAACCACCAATTAGCCACTAAGAGTACCGTAATCGAAGAAGCCACCAACTGTTGCTTAAAATAAAAGTTTAATACTACGGCTCTGTCTGATTTCCCAGAAGAAACGACTGTTTAATTTACAATTCCCGTGGTTCACATCTCCCCCCCCCCCCCCCCACACCCCACAAGAGTTCCTTGCACATTGGGTCATTGATGGCTTGTTGAGGAAATTGCGCATAATCATAGTTAGATTAGTGAAGGTCAAGGTTACACAGGATCCCGAGCGTTCACGCGGCTAGCGTGACCTACGGAAACGTGCAAGGAGTGCACGTGACGAGCCGGCATGTGGGACGGATGGACCGTGTGGACGTGTCCGTCAGTAAAAACACAACTTTAAGCCAATGGTTCGCTGTGCAGGTCATTATGGTAGATTTTAATTAAAGTGACGTATTGATGTTTTTAAATATTTCTGCAGATCTTTTAATTCAAGAATTTACTGAAACTTTTGTTGTTTGATCGCCATGTATCTAAAACTGTGTGGCAGCTAGGTCGATCGATAATCAACTGCTATGCCTGGAATTAGTTTCGCCAAAAATATTTCACTTGGAAGTGGTTGAGAGTAGGGTTTGTGATTCACACACGAGCTTTGTATAGTGATGGGGGGGGGGAAGATTTTATTTCTCGGATTCAAAATTCAAATCTTTTCACTACACAAAACATCACAATCTTAGGCACCCACTTGACACAATCCACCATCCACCTTCACATGACACCATCCACCTGACACCATCCACCTTCACATGACACCATCCACCACCCACCTGACACCATCCACCACCCAATTGACACCATCCACCGCCCAATTGACACCATACACTTCACATGACACCACCCACCACCCACCTGACACCATCCACCACCCAATTGACACCATCCACCGCCCAATTGACACCATACACTTCACATGACACCACCCACCACCCACCTGACACCATCCACCACCCAATTGACACCATCCACCGCCCAATTGACACCATACACTTCACATGACACCACCCACCATCCATATGACACCATCCATCACACACCTTACACGACACCATACTCTACTCATCATTCCCCGCTGTCCCCCATCCCACATCGCCCACCCTACACTCAACCACCCAGCCCACCCACCACCCAACCAACCACTAACCTAGAGCAAACATATCCGACAAGTCTTCACACGTCTCACAGCGACTGTAACAACAAAACTCTGGCAACGAGCGCCTGTGTAAACAAAATAATTGACAAATATCACAGCTGCCCTATTAATTAGCCATTAATTATATTGATTATAAAACACTAAGAAAATTGGTGTATGTTGAAAAAATTGCCTGATATTTTTTTAATTTCAAAACATGAACTTAATAGCATTAGGTTACTTTTAACAATGTTTCGTTTAATTAAAAAGTAGTTAATATTACATTATAATAAAATCATAAGTGATATGCGTTTTTTCTTAAGCCGTGATGCCTATGTGTTAGTGTATTCGTGTGTGTGTGTTTGTGTGTACGTGTGTGTGTGTTCATGTGTGTGTGTTTGCGTGTGCGTTTGTTGTTTAGTTTGGGTAGTTTGTGTTTGATAATACATTTCTTGAGTGCATTAAACTTGATATTTAAAAAAATGTTTTCCTTGGTGTTTATTCACACTCTTCTACTCATGTTCAAACATCAAGTTCGCCAATATTTACTTGATGATGTGTTCAATGCTGTAGAGACTCCCCCCCCCCCCCACATACAAACAACTTGCCCGACAATGAACACGTGAGCAGACGACCACGATGTTGCTCCCCGTGCACGTCCTGATGGGTGCTCACCCCGTGGCGACCGGTATTTGGGTTAATTTCCTGCAATTAACGCATTTTTGTGACTAATTAATGGTGTGAATAAACTCCGGACTCCGTCACACTCTATGGGCGCACGTTGTTCATTCCTCACAAGTAGCACTGTACTGACGGAGTATATCATCTGAGCGGGTGGGGGAGGGGAAAGGATGAGGGGGGGTTGAAGTGGTTCCACAATCACTGTTTAATTGCACTTTTACGAAAGGTTGTAGAAACCCGAGTATTTATTTGAGCTATTGATTTTCAAATATTCTTGGCAAGGTATCTCAAGGACAAAATATTTCAGACAAAATATCTTAGACAAAATATCTTATTAGGACAAAACATTTCAGACAAAATATCTCAGACAAAATATCTTATTAGGACAAAATATTTCAGACAAAATATCTCAGACAAAATATCTTATTAGGACAAAATATTTCAGACAAAATATCTCAGACAAAATATCTTATTAGGACAAAATATCTCAGGACTAAATTATATATCAGGACAAAATATCTCCTACAATATATCTCAAACCAAATACCTCTGGTTAAAATATATCAGGACAGAAATATCTATGTCTGAAGAATATAGCACACAAAAAAAAAACACTGAGCAACATTGATCATTAAAGTAGGCGTGTCCTGAGCACTTTCTAGCCGATGTGAGCGTGTCTTGTGCACTTTCTAGCTGATGTGGGCGTCATTACGAGAGTATCACCGGCTTCTTGAGTTTGTGAAAACTCTTAAAACACGCACACATAAACATACACTAACACACACATACACTCTCTCTCTCTCTCTCTCACACACATACACACACATACGCATACACACTCACACACACACACACGACGTCAAACTGGAGCACCAGCAGACAGTTGCTGAATGTCTTACAACTTAAAAACGGTAAACAAGCAGACGGCTAATGAAAGTCTTACAAACGGTAAACAAGCAGACAGCTAATGAAAGTCTTATAACTGGTAAACAAGCAGACAGCTAATGAAAGTCTTACAACTTAAAAACGGTAAACAAGCAGACAGCTAATGAAAGTCTTACAACTTAAAAACGGTAAACAAGCAGACGGCTAATGAAAGTCTTACAAACGGTAAACAAGCAGACAGCTAATGAAAGTCTTATAACTGGTAAACAAGCAGACAGCTAATGAAAGTCTTACAACTTAAAAACGGTAAACAAGCAGACAGCTAATGAAAGTCTTACAACTTAAAAACGGTAAACAAGCAGACAGCTAATGAAAGTCTTATAACTGGTAAACAAGCAGACAGCTAATGAAAGTCTTACAAACGGTAGACAAGCAGACGGCTGATGAAAGTCTTACAAATGTAATTAGAAGACAACTCTACACCAGGTGCCTCAAATGACGGCGCGTGACGTCATAGGACGCCTAGAAACGTCTGCTGGTCTCCTGTTACACACATCAACTCCCGTATATCTTCTGACACAACGCGGCCATTTTCCCGCCGTTTTCCACGGATTTTTGTTTGTTTATCTTGTGTGTGTGTGATCACTTGACCGGGGTCAAACGGCAGGGGTCAAATTTTGATCGGATTTAGTAATATGATATTTAAACTTGTATTAATATCTTGAACAGGGTTAGAAGTATAAACAACATTCACCCCACCCATTCATCCCCCCCTCACTCATTCAGTGCACAAGGCTATAAAGTAAGTTGTTGCTGGCTATGACAACTTACAAAGACAAACACTAATTCATTAGTGTGAGGTATTGTCTAATTGGTGTGTTTTGTGTTTGTTTGTTTGTTTGTTTGTTTGTTTATTTGTTTGTTTGTTTGTTTGTTTGTTGGTTGGTTTGTTTGTTTGTTTGTTTGTTTGTTTGTTTGTTTGTTTGTTTGTTTGTTTGTTTGTTTGTTTGTTTGTTTGTTTGTTTGTTTGTTTGTTAGGAAAGCAAGTGAAAGATGTTTACATTTATTACCGGCCTC